TGAGTTCTAGCACCACTTTAGGAATGAAAGTTGGCTGGGTGACTTTGGGCTGTTTACCAGGAGACAGTGAGTTCTAGCACCACCTTAGGAATGAAAGTTGGCTGGGTGACTTGGGGCGAATTACCAGGAGACAGTAAGTTCTAGCACCACCTTAGGAATGAAAGTTGGTTGGGTGACTTTGGGCTGTTTACCAGGAGACAGTGAGTTCTAGCACCACTTTAGGAATGAAAGTTGGCTGGGTGACTTTGGGCTGTTTACCAGGAGACAGTGAGTTCTAGCACCACCTTAGGAATGAAAGTTGGCTGGGTGACTTGGGGCAAATTACCAGGAGACAGTAAGTTCTAGCACCACCTTAGGAATGAAAGTTGGTTGGGTGACTTTGGGCTGTTTACCAGGAGACATTGAGTTCTAGCACCACCTTAGGAATGAAAGTTGGCTGGGTGACTTTGGGCCAATCACCAAGAGACCGTGAGTTCTACTCCTACCTTAGGCATGAAAACCAGCTGAGTGACTTTAGGCTAATCACCAGGAAACAGTGAGTTCTAGTCCCGCCTCAGGCATGCAAGCGGGGTGGGTGACTTGGGGCCAATCACCAGGAGATGGTGAGTTCTAGTCCCGCCTGAGGCATGAAAGCCAGTTGGGGGACTGGGCCAATCACCAGGAGACAGGGAGTTCTAGTCCCGCCTCAGGGTTTGCAAGCTGGCTGGGTGATTTTGGGTCAGTCATTCTGTCTCGCCCGCCTCGGAGGACTATTGTCAAGAAAATAAGAGGAGGAAGGAGTATTAGACATGCCACCTGAACTACTTATAAAAAGAAAATAATGGTGGGATTTAAAAAATAATAATTAAAACAAACCCTCTTCCCAGCAAATGCTGAGCCAATCAGCTATCAAATTCTTGACTCAACACCCATCTTAGCCCAATGATTTGGGGGAAGAATCAGTTCTTCATCATCAAAACAAAGTGTCACATGGGAAAAAAAATATGGTATTTTAGAAAAAAAAATCCACTAAGTTTACTTTCAGCAAGTTTCCAGGACGTCTGACAGACAAAGCGTGGGATGTTATGTGTATTTGTGTGTGTGTGTTCTGCATGAATGAGTCTGTTGATAAATGAATCGTTCTTTTTTTTTAATGCAATACAGAACTGTCTGAAAATATTATTATTTTTTTGAGAAATTTGGCATAGCAGCTGAACTACCCATAAGAAAAAAAACAAACAAAAAAAGCCCAACTGTGATTTCTTATACCCTGGAAAATCAAAGACTAGAAATGGAAAAACAGAAGTTTCAATCATGCTGTCATTATATCAATACAGATAGTCCTCAACGTAGGACCACAACTGAACCCAACATTTCTGTTGTTAAGTGAGACATATGTTGAGTTTTGCCCCATTTTACCACCTTTCTTGCCACACTCGTTAAGTGAATCACTGCTGTTGATAAAGATAGTAACCCGGTTGCTAAGTGAATCTGGCTTCCCCCATTGACTTTGCTTGTCAGAAGATCGCAAAAGGGGATCACGTGACCCTGGGATACTGCAACTGTCATAAATACAAGTCAGTTGCCTAGCGTCTGAATTTTGATCACATGACCCTGGAGACGCTGCAATGGTCGTAAGTGTGAAAAAGGGCCAGTAGGTTACTGTTTTCAATGCCCTTATAACTTTGAATGGTCACTAAATGAACTGTTGTAAGTCACCTATCTGTATATTAGGTTGGACATCTAAAGCAAGGGTCCCCAACTCCTGGTCCGTGGACCAGTACCGGTCCGCGGCATGCCAGCAACCGGTCCACACAAACAAGCAAAGCCCCATCCATGGGATGCAGGCAGCACACAAAAGCACACACTCTCCACGGAACCGGTCCCTGGTGACCAAAAGGTTGGGAACCTCTGATCTAAAGTACTTCTGGTTCCCTCATCCTTTAAAAAATAATGATAATAAAAAAGACAGGGCTGGAAAAGAAGTGAAACTGGCTAAGTCAAATGATTAAGAAGTCCCAGTCTGGACAGTCACCTAAGCATACCCCAATTTCAGTAGACATAAGAAATGTGATTTTCCCATCCTGTTTTTTGGGATACTTTCCTCATACAAGTAGTCCTTGACCTACAACCGTTCATTTAGTGACTGTCCCAAGTTACAATGACACTGAAACAAGTCACTTACAACCAGCCCTTGAACTTATGACAAAGTCATGTGATTTAAAAAAAAATTGGGTGTTTTAGGCCAGGGCTTTTCAACCAGTGGTATGGGTACCACCTATGGTACATTGGCACCTGGCAGGTGGTACGCGACCATCCTAGAAAAGTGGTAGCGGGGAAGGGGAATGAGCTGAACTGGTAGTAGCACCGCACAAGCCTGAGCGAGAGATGGCTGGAGCTGCAGGGCTGTCAGGGCTCAGTGGAAGCGCCAGGATCAGGGCCGCTTTCCAGCTGATCGGCGCTTCTTCAGGGCTGTCAGGGCTCAGCGGAAGCGCCAGGATCAGGGCCAGGATCCAGCTGGAAAGCAGCACTGATCCTGGTGCTTCTGCTGAGCCCAGAAGAAGCACCGATCAGCTGGAATGTTGCAGCCTCTCCAGGGTCTTGTGATTTACATTCAGATGCTTGGCAACTGATTCATACTTATGACGGTCACAGTGTCCCAGGGTCATGTGAAGTGACCAAAACCTGCTGCAACCACCCAGCAGATGGGGGGAATAAAAACCAAACACCCCCCCACCCCACCCCCTCTGCCAATCCTCAGCAGAAATGCTCACAACAATGAAAACCTCAGGAGGAAGAGCGCCGCCGGGTGAGCAGGCAGGTGTCTTGCTCGGCTGTGCCTTGGCGGGCACTTTTTTCAGTGCCATTGTAACTTTGAACAGTCACTAAGCGAACTGTTGTAAATCAAGGACTACCTGTACTTTATCACTTTTTTCTTTTTTTGGTCATCAAGTTTTTGACACCTTGCTAGGTGACTGGTGGTACTCAGATGTTGCCATATCCTAAAAGTGGTACAATGGGTGAAAAGGTTGAAAAGCCCTGTTTTAGGCCACTGGCATTTATTTATGACGGCCGCAGAGGCCCCGGGTCATGTGGATGCCATTTCTGACCTTCCCAACTGGCCTCCAACAAGGAATGTCAGTAGGGAAAACCTAAATTCATTTAATGACCATGTGAGCCACTTAACTGCAGTGATTTGCTTAACCACCATGACAAAAACATTGTAAGATTGGGCACGATTCATTTAACAACCGCTTTGCTTAGCAGGGAAAGTTCAGGTCCCAATGATGGGGATGAGTCCAGGAAAGCAAAAATCGGGGTAAGAAAAAAAGATGACGAAGGAGGCAGGAGAAAATAAGGGTCCATAATATTATTTATGTGCTATCAAGTTGGTAATACCTAGTGATCACATAGATCACATCTTCACTCAGATCATTTGTTCTCCACCTGGTCTTTCTGACCCTCCAACAGAGGTACACATCACCTCTGTAACTAAGTCCATCCACCTTGTTCCTCGTCATCTTCTCTTTTCTTCCGTCTTCCCCAGAATTATGGACTTCCCAGCAAGCTTGGTTTTTGCATTGATTCACTGGTTGATTACAGGTATTCCTAGACTAATGACTAAAACTGTTGGTGAATGAAGTCACCAGGATGTAAAAAAGATGTTGAGACTCTAGAAAGAGTCCAGAGAAGAACAAAGATGATTAGGGGACTGGAGGCTAAAACATATAAGGAAAGGCTGCTGGAATTGGGTATGTCTAGTTTAATGAAGAGAAGGACGAGGGGGGACAGGATAGCAGTGTTCCAGTATCTCAGGGGCTGCCCCAAAGAAGAGGGAGTCAAGCTATTCTCCAAAGCGCCTGAAGGCAGGACAAGAAGCAACGGATGGAAACTAATCAAGGAGAGAAGCAACCTGGAACTAAGGAGAA